TTATTTTATTTATTTTATTTATTTATTTGTTTTTTTTTTATTTGTTTGCTTTGATTTTATGTGTTAGTTTATTTTATTTATTTATTTTATTTTATTTTATTTTATTTTATTTTATTTTATTTTATTTATTTATTTATTTTATTTTATTTATTTTTTATTTATTTTTTTTAGGCTTTGGCTTACGCTCAGTCTGTATATTTAGAAATATACAAAAACACGAAGGCGCTGCACAGCAGCAGCAGCAGCAGCAGCAGCAGCAGCAGCAGCAGCAGCAGCAAACCAGCAGCAGCAGCAGCAGCAACAGTAAAACCAGAATCAGGTGGATATAGTTCTGCTGCATCAGGAGATACATCAGCAGCAGATCCTGCTGCTGCTGCTGCTGCTGCTGCTGGTGATGCAGCAACAGCAGCAGACACAGCAGCAACAGCAGCAGCAACAGCAACAGCAGCAGCAGCAGCAGCAGCAGAAGATACAGCAGCAAAAAGACAAAAGACACCAACAGGAGGTTGGTTGCCATCTATACACGAAGAGGGAGAACCATCTGCTGCTGCTGCTGCAGCAGCAGCAGCAGCAGCAGGTGCTGCTGCTGCTGCAGCAGGTTCAGACCCATCAACAGAAGCAGCAGCAGCAGCAGCAGCAGCAGGAGGAGGAGAGAGTGTATTTAATTTATTTAATATTCGCATGCTAGCAGCAGAAGATATAATAAAATGCAGCAAAATATATGAAAGAGCAGCAAGGGTAACAGGCCAAGAATATCTTTTGCTGCAGTCGCTGCTGCTGGACCTCTCCGCGCTGCTGCAGCTGCAGCAGCAGCAGCTGCAGCAGCTCAATACACAAATGCTGGCGTTTGCTCAGGAAGATTATAATATTTCTAAACACCAGCAGCAGCAGCAGCAGCAGCAGCAGCAGCAGCAGCAGCAGCAACATGGGATTATGCAGCTGCAGCAGCAGCAGCAGCAGCAGCAGCAGCAACAGTTATTGCTGCAGCAACCGCAGCAGCAGCAACAGCAACTTAATTATTAAAGGTAGAAACAACTGCAGCACCACAAACAACACACACGCAGCAACAGATGCTGCTGGTGCTGCTGCTGCAGTAGCTGCTGTAGCAGTAGCTGCAGCAGCAGCAGCAACAGCAGCAGCAGCAGCAACAGCAGCTGCAGCAGCAACAGCAGCTGCAGCAGCAGCAGCTGCAGCAGCAGCTGCAGCAACAGTGGTTTTTGTTCTTCATTTTAACGATTTTATATTTTTTAATTTATTTTTATTTTGTTTTTTATTTATATTATATTTGTTTTTATTTATTTATATATAAATATATTTATTTTATTTTGTTTTTTATTTATATTATATTTGTTTTTATTTATTTTTATATAAATATATTTATTAATATAATTGTATTATTATTTATTTATTTATTTTTGTTGTTTTTGTTTCTTGTATTAGGGTGGTTTAGGGTTTAGGGTTTAGGGGGCGATGCCTGCTGCTGCTGCAGCAGGAGCAGCAGCAGCAGCAACAGAAGCAGTAGTAGTAGCAGCAGCAACAAAAGCAGTAGCAGCAGCAGCAGCAGCAGCAGCAACAGCAGCAGCAGCAGCAACAGCAACAAAAGCAGTAGCAGCAATAGCAGCAACAACAAAAGCACTAGCAGCAGCAGCTGCTGCTGCTGCAGCAACAAGAAAACAGCAGCAGCAGCAGCAGCTGCTGCTGCTGCTGCGGCAGCAAGAAAACAGCAGCAGCAGCAGCAGCAGCAAGAAAGCAGCAGCAGCATTTGTTCTATATCTGCTGCTCTTTCTGCGGCATCTCTCACCCTAAACCCTAAACCCCAAACCCTAAACCCCAAACCCTAAACCCTAAACCCTAAACCCTAAACACTAAACCCTAAACGCTAAACACTAAACCCTAAACCCTAAACACTAAACCCGGATGCTTGCTATTTATTATTTTTTTTTTGTTTTTGTTTTTTTAGGGTTTTATAAACCCTAAATTAGGGTTTAGGGTTTCTGTATGCAGCAGGTAGCATCTGTCTCCTTTTTTTATTTTTTTATTTTTTTTTTATTTTTTGTTTGTTTGTTTTTTATTTTTTTATTTATTTGCTGTTTTCTTTTGTCTTTGTTCTGTATGCTGTCGCTTTAAACCCATATATTCATTGCTGCTGCTGCTGCTGCTGCTGCTGTTGCTGCTGCTGCTGCTAACGCGACACTGCTGCAGCAACAGCAGCAGAAGCAGCAGAAGCAGCAGCTGCAAGGGGCGCAGTAGCAGCAGCAGCAGCAGCAAGGGGCGCAGTAGCAGCAGCAGCAGCAGCAGCAGCAGCAGCAAGAGCAAGAGCAGCAGCAGCAGCAGCAACAACAAAAACGAGAAGCAGCAAAAGAAAAGGATTCAAATATCCTCGCAGTTTATAAAATAACATTTGTTTTGTTTTTTTGTTTTTGTTTTTTTTTTTAGTTTATTTGTTTATTTATTTTGTTTATTTGTTTGTTTATTTGTTTATTTTGTTTGTTTATTTGTCTATTTATTTATTTATTTGTTTGTTTATTCTTTTATTTGTTTGTTCATTTATTTATTTATTTATTTATTTATAGATTTCCTTATTTAAATTATTTTTGTTTATTTACTTTTGTTTATTTATGTATTTATTTTTGTTTATTTATTTATTTATTTATTCATTTGTTTGTTTGTTTGTTTATATATTTATGTATTTATTTATTTGTTTACGTAT